GGGCCCTTACAGATTGCTACTCAAGGTAATGCACGTTTCTTCTCTACTATGGTAGATGATTTCACTAGGACCACATGGATTTTTTTGCTACAATTCAAGCTGATGTATTCCAGACTTTGAGAATTTTTTGCAAATGGTTCAAATCAATATAATCACACTCCTCAGTATGTTAGAACTGACAATGGCACAGAATTTTTCATAATCAGTGTTGTGAATTGTTGTCTAGTTAGGGATTACAACCAAAGCACTTGTGTCTACGCTCACAACAAATGGAGTGGTAGAAGCCAAGCATAGGCATATTCTTGCCATGGCCAGGGCTTTAAAATTCCAATCTCACATCCTGTACTTGTGGGGATATGCTGTCAAAGTTGCTGTATATATATCAATCGGTTACCTACCAAGTGTTTACATGGATTATCTCCTTTTGAGAAGTTTATGGCCATAAGCCAAATTTGGATCATTTAAGAGTCTTTGTGCTAAGCCTTCCTTCCAATCTGCCTATTCAAGACAAGTTAGCTCTAGATCAGTACCCTGTGTTTTCCTTGGGTATTCATCACAAAAAAGGGTTATATACTCTATGATTTGACTCTCAGAATGTTTGCTTAACAGAGATGTTTTATTTTATGAACATATTTTTCCTTTCTCATTGCAGCAAGCTCCTAAATCTGCTTTTCCAGCTGACATTTCTGCTGCTACTTTTATGGAAGAAGAGCCTACTGCATATTTTATCCCCTTATTCCTGACACAGATTCGACTCTTAAATCCTCCTCGCACCTCCTGCACCTTCCTCTCCGATCTGTTAATCGTTAATTAGTTAGTAATCTGTTGTTTAGTGTTAATCAGTTGTTATGGTATTAATTGTGGTTGAATAACTATGGTTACTTGTATATATAGACTTCTCTGCTTGTAAACAAATCCCTTAAGCTAAATAAAAATTCTCTTCTTCTCAAATGCGATTCTTCAATCACTACTTCATCTGCGGTCATCGTAGAATAGCTGTGGAAAGTAACAAATCCGCATTCTCTTTCATTCTTGGAACCAAGAAGCAGACACATTGCTTCACGAACAACAGTGGTGGTGTTGGCAAAGATGTCGCAGTCCACATTAAGCATAAACGAGTATTGTCATCAACCGGAAACCCTAGTGTTTTTTGGCATTTATTTATAAAAAGCAACTGATAAAGAGTCTTTAAATAGCTAGATAATTCATAAATTGATGATGGTTCAGTTGGAATGCATAGAGTATTACTGTATTAGAAACATCGCTCTTACCAGTACATTCATTGCTTCAGCTTTGTAATTATGCATATGCTGAGGCCGCTTCTCTCTGGATATGTAAACTAAATGTGGTATTCCATCTGAGGAGTGACCCTTTTTCTCCCAAATAACCTACAGAAAGAACAGTCTAATTAAAAGTTTTGATAGTTTTCTAAAGCTTCATCGTTAATCGAAGTAATCCGTCGTTAATCGTTAAAAATTAATTCTGATAAATGATGATTGAGTAGTGCTTTCTTTTGACAGAAATCATCTACCTTCATTATAGTTGAATGGTTTCGGCATTCCATATTAGAGAAAACAGCCAACTCGCAGGTTAGATCACTGCTGGGAAACGACTTACGAGCTGCAGCTTCTATTTTTGGGCTAAGCTCGTCATATTCGTCCTACAAAATGAAAATGAAATAAGAATTAAAATAAATAAATTCATTTTTAAGACTAAAAAACCGATTAACCAAAAAAGGTTAAGCTGTGTTATAGTAAGAAATCAACATTAATTTTTGAGTCTAAGGTCTTACTTGCAGAAGTAATGTTACAGAAATTTCACTTTCGTTTACCTTCATCTTTTTCCATTCTAGTTGGAATTCACTTGAACTTTCATTAGCCGCTAGCTGTAGACTCATCCAAGAAGTACCTAAAGGGAGCTCTAACTTGAACATTATACTTCTTACAAAATGGAACCCAAAGCACAGCAAACTTTGACGCTGCAACGAGAGAGTAAAATGTGAGAGGGGAACAGCCATCATCGGAAACATAGCAGGCTAACTTGTGAGCTGGATAATCAACTGCTAACAAAGAAAGCACAGTGTTTACGGTGATGATAGGCGGCTCTAGCGCAGGGTCAGCGGTAGTCACAAACACGTCCACCGGTGGAAGATCTAGTCTTCTATACCATTCCTGGAGACGTTCTGGGAATGTTTTGTATTCCATGGGGTCCACTGGGTGTTGGTGGTGAGAAGTCAAATGAAGGTGAACCACGACTCGCATAGAAAAGCAAGGAACCAAGCATATCCATGATTTTGGAGATATTTGAGACGATAGATAAGAAGAGAAAACAGAAGGAACAGTATGGTGACATTTAAAGCTCTTTGTGAAGAGTTTTTTATTGCAACCTTTTCATATAGTGGGAGCGAGATTGGCTTGGCCATTGGTGATGGTGCTTGATGACTGATGACTGATGACTACAAATTTATGTAATATTGTATGTATCTTCAGATGTCCATATTTTTTATAGTGGTCACGATCGATTGATTATTAATATCTTTTTCAGGTTAACTTTTACTTTCTAGCAGAAATCTATGAAGAAGTAGCTGCCCAAGGGCATCGTGCTGTTCAAGGCATCATATATAGATTGAGACCAACTCAACAGGGAAATAATAAATTGAATAAATCTACTGTTCTTTTCTGTAAGGTAAATTTTCATGATTTTAAACATATATATATTTTTTAATTGTCGTCAAATGTCAACTAAATTCCAAGTTTGTGGACTTATGGTCTAATACACAACCCAAATAAAATGGTTGAATAGTACATTTGTTGTTGAGCAAGGGATGATGACTAAGTGCATGAGAAGTTTGCGAACATCACGTAATCATATCAATAAACTATATAATATGTCTATTATGTGATTTGATTTAAGTTAATTCTTTAGGTGCACGTCATGCTGTTGCACTGCCGTGACAATGAAAAACTCAATTGACTCGATTCCGCTTTTGAACAATATATATATATATATATATAGAGAGAGAGAGAGAGAGAGAGAGAGAGAGAAAGAGAGAGAGAGAGAGAGAGAGAGAGAGAGAGTAAAACCTCTTTATTATTATTATTATTATTATTATTATTATTATTATTATAATGTTCAAACTAACTAATTTTATTAGTATAAAGAGGTAATAATTTAATAAAGGTATAGTTACAAAATTTTCTTATTTCATAATTTATGTTTTAGTAATACAACATTAGGATTTCAATTCATGTTTTAATAATATTAGGGTTTCAATTCAACGTTTCAATTGCTTACTTTTAAAATAGATAAAAGATCGTATCTTGGAACCAACAAAGATAAGTGTCCTTGATGAAATTGCAAATGTAATTACTACATGGTCAATTGTTTTAAGCATTGCAAAATTAGGATCCACGATGTCGATGAATTGCAAGTTACAAATAAAGTAGATGAGGAGAATCAAAGTCATTGTAGAATTGAGTGATCAGATTCGACAACTTCACCACACTAATTGAATGAATATTAATGTTTTCTTCAATCATCCAAATGAGCAACAAGTCATGTATGCTTTAATGAAGAAGAAATCATTTTTACAATTAAACAAGAAGAGAAAATAAATAATTATGAGGACGATAGTATGAAAATACAAAAAGTTTAAGTGCCAAGAAGCTCTAAACATACTTGAAAAGCTAGAATATTTTGGTTTCAGCAAGAAAATATCCATGTTAGCGAATAATGTATCTGCAAGTTAAAAGATGTGGTAACAACTCAAAAGCATAAATCATTATCTCAAACAACTTTAGATAAATATTTTATTTCATCTTAAACCTTTAATATAATATAACATATTTTTTTTGCAATATACATATAATAATTACTATGTGGAGACAATTTTCCTTAAGACGAGAATTAGAAAAATTACAACTTATTACAATGTGAAGTTTATTTTTATTTATAACTATCTCAAATTGAAAATATAAATTTTTATAACTATTTAAAATTTATTTATATATAAAATATCACTATAGAAAAGTTTTACTGTATTATACTGTGATAAAATACTTGTATTTTTCATAAGAAGTTTTCTCATAGAAGACTGTTCGAATATTCTTTAATTTCTAAAGGGGTTTTGGGCATTTGGGCTGGATACATCCACCAATTACCATAGTCCACATTCCACAAGAGAAGGAACAGAATACTCAATAATTAATCAAATCGAGCAGCTGATTTGGATGCTTCTGTCCAGGTGTGTAAGCCAATTATATTTGGCAGTCAATTTCAGTGGATTTACATAGTCAAGTTTTTGATGAATTTTGCAACAATTTAAGTAGAATAATATTCATAATTTTAGAACAAATTTTAATAAATTTTAAGATCAAAGAAATATTTATTAATTTAACCAATGAAATGATAGTTTACACGAAAGTTTTCATTAATTCAAAGCCAATCATGCAGTGTCTACAGGGAAAAATATGATGTGATGGTTACAAAACTAGCCATTATAAATTTTGCTTCAAGAAAAATTTGTTTCAGAAGTCCAAGTAACAGACACTGGTACTAAATCAAATCATAATATTTCAACATAGATGAAAAAGTAACAACAATGAATGATGAAGAAATACTGTTTCATGTCAACATTAATAGAAATCATCTCAACCTCTTTTACAGAACTGTACAAAAAACAATGCCAAAGCAGAAGATTTAAATATAACATAGTGCGTAAGAGAATTCCATATTCAACTCGCAATTGCATTAGATCAAGCATGATCCATTATTGGATAGATAAAACTCATTGCAAGTTTACTAATTATAAACTGACACATTGCGTTTGTGAGAAAAAATTAGTGAGACGGATTTGTCAGTGTAGTACTACTCTTCCATATTTTTCTTTTCTTGAACAGACCTTGCACAAATGGCCAGATGGATATCAACACAGACACACTAACGTATAACAGCAACAAAAGGATTTAAATATACTGCTTGATGATAAAGTAACACTGATATTAAATCAAAATATCTTTTTCACCATTATTTGATGAACAAATAACAACAATGAAGATTTACTATTTCATGTCAACAATAACACAGATATTCTGAACCTCTTTACATAAATGTATAAAAAGTAAAGCCAAAGCAGCAGATTTGAATATAGTGAATAAGGGAATCCCATATTTTCCTTTCCTGAACAGACCTTGCACAAATGGCCAGAAGGATACCAACACAAACACACTGCCGAACAACTCCCCAAGCCCTGACCCTTGCCCGCTTGATTGTGGTAGTAACCTAAACAAGCTGATAGCCAATGCGGTCAGGTGCACCATTACAACCACCGTGATTGGTACAAAAACCGGTGACTCATCAAAGACAAATTGACCATCATCATCGTCCCCACCATCACCAGAAGTTGATTGGCCTTTTCGTGTAACTTCAAATTCTGTCTCTAATAATCTTAGGAGCTTCAGTACCGCATTTATTACTCCAAATAACCATGCACTCAATGTGATAATTCTTGCCATGCATTGGGTAATCCACCATGCCTTAATTGAGAAACCAGTTCGGATGATCTCTGATAGAGTATACAGGTTGTAGCTCACAAAGGAGGCAACAAAAATATATATGCCTGGTTCCTGGATCTGCAATAATTTAAGATATTACATTTAGTAAAATATTAATCTTGGATCTCTTTTATTCTAGTAACACGTGAAGACACATGTTAATTTGTGGATTGCAATATATCATCAGTCCTTACACTGGGTAAGAAATTGGAGTTGGTAATGAGGCAATAAGCTGGTAGAAGAGCGTAGCACAGCTCAGGAATTGAGCGTAATCCCCAAAGAAAGATCCACAAATACGCCAAGCACTGCCTAAATTGGAGCTTGCCTTTGAGGGTACCAAAAATGGGGTTGTGTTTGCTGAATAGAATCTCAAGCAGTCCAGTGGCCCACCTCTTTTGTTGGGTCATCGTTGCCGGCCCACCAGGTGGTGCACACCCTAGAAAGGCTGGAGGGTCAGGTGAGCAATACCCTGTTCTCCAGCCTCTATTGTGGATGGTCAACCCTGTTAAGATATCTTCTGTAGTGGATCCATACATCCACCCAAACTGAAACAGAAACCGTATATTACATTAGATGTGATTCTTCTTCAAAATTTGGGTGTTATTTGGACTTGAAATTGAATTTGTTTGCATGAACACTAATGGATCTGGGGATGAAAAACAGTGATGAACTCATGAACATGCTTGCTCAATATTACCTTTATACCCCAGCTAGTGCCGTACTCATAGCCACAACCTGCAACCTGGTGAGCTGCCTCAAGAGATTCCCATAGGTTGCTAGGATAATAATCTGTCTTCCCTTTCAAAGCATGAGCAGCTGATTTCATGAATTCCCTTGAGATTCCAAAATCCCTTTGTAATTCATTCTCATCTGCAAAAGGAAGACAGAACATTTAAGGCATTGGAGAAAAAAGTTACCCTTGAACCATTTATTTTTGTAGTAATTGTTCATGATCAAAGGCACACCATAGGTGATAATTAGCAGAGCAGACAGAGATATAAACCTGAGTAAACATCTCTTCCTTGAACTTCTACCTCATCCGGCCGTAGACCGTAGATAACTTTTCGTCTATGAAAACATCCTGTACCTTGATAAAAAGCTCCTTGAATTCCCACTATTCCTTTGCCCACATACTATATTATCAATTAGCTACAAAGTTAGGATCTTTAATGCAGCTTAAATATCTTTGGTATCTATTCTTACTCGATTTGTGAGTGAAAAAAAGAAAAGAAACATGACTCACTTCATGCAAAATCAGTAGTTGTTCGGGTCTGTCATAAAATAATTGCGGAGACTGAACAAATCCGCAGTCTCTTTCATTCTTGGAACCCAGCAGGAGACACATTGCCTGACGGAAAATCTGTGCGTTGTTGACAAACATGTCGCAGTCCACATTAAGCATGAATGGAGCGTTTGTCATCGACCCAGAGACTCTAGTCTATTTATCGTACAAAAAGTTAGAAATCAGAATCAGTTAAGATGTTGATTGGAGTTTGTTATTTATTTGGCCTAGAGGAACAAGAACAACTTACAAGCACATTCATAGCTCCTGCTTTGTAATGATGTTGATGTTCTGGCCGCTTCTCCCTGGATATGTAAATTAAATGTGGCACCGCATCTGGAAGACCCTCCTTGTTCTCCCATAGGACCTACAAAATGATTAATCTAATAAATTAAATGTTTGGGTTCTATAGAGGCTTAATCATCAGTTAATTTATATTATAATACTGGTTAAAGTGCCGAATCAAAGAAAAAAAGTTATTAAGTATATGCAAATCAATCAATTGTACGTACCTTGACTATTTCTGGATGGTTTCGGAGCTCTGTATTGGAAAAAACAACTAACTCACCAGTTAGACCAAAGGGAAAAGGCTGTTGCGTTGCATTTTCAATCTTTCTGCAAAGTTGCTCGTACTCATCCTATAAAAAAATGACTTAAAAATATAAATGAGACTCTAAGCCAATAAGGCCCCATAATTACAGCTTACAACTTTTTTATTTATTAATTGTTTGTTGTCTTATATAACTAGATTACAAACGTGAATTAAAAAAAATATTATTCAGACTCCCTATCCCACCAAAACAATATTTTTAGATAAAATTTCATTTACTCCAATAGAGACAAGGCACCGAGGCAGCTTGACCAGACGCTAAGATATGAAAAGCTTTATCTGTATCTCTTAACTTTTCTTTTACCTTCATCTTTTTCCATTCTTGCTGGAATTCCCCAGAATTAGCACTGGACGGTACAGACCGATCATCCAAGAAGCATCTAAAGGGAGCTCTAACTTGAACGTTATACTTCTTACAAAATGGTACCCAAAGGTTTGCGAATTTAGATGCTTCAACAAGAGAGTAGAAGATAAGAGGTGAGCAGGCATCATCCGAAACATAGCAAGCTAGTTTGTTAGCTGGATAATCGACTGCCAACAAAGATAGCACAGTGTTTACGGTGAGGATAGGTTGTTCCAGCACAGGATCAGCAGTTGTCACAAACATGTCCACTGGAGGAAGTTCTTTTACCCTGTTGAATTCAAATAGTAATTAGGACAACGGTAAAATGTATCAGAAAAAATAAAATAAAATTTATATTTGATCAAAGTTACTGTTGCTGGAGGCGTTCTGGGTATGTTTGGTATAGCATAGGAGTCCATCTAGAGCAAATAACGAGAACCCAGTTGAAAGTGAACCATGACTCGCATAAGAAAGCAAGAAACCAAGCAAGCCCGTTATCCTTGAGAGTGAGGAGACGATAAGTGAGGAGACAAAGGAGAAGCAACAAGATAGTCACATCTACAGCTCTTTGGGTAGTGTTTTTAATAAAAACTTTTTGAAACAGAGGGAGAGAGACAGGATTGGCCATGGACAAGAGATAATGAAAATTTCTTTTGGTGGCCTTGTTACTGGTTGGTGCTTGCAGGCTGAGTATAAGTTACATATGAATACGTATACATCGAAGCTGTTTAGTGTAATAAATCCCACATTGAAAGCGTATCGGGAAGGTCTTGGGCTTATAAATGGGGGGAGTCCTTTCACCTAATAGATTAGTTTTTTGAGTGTGAAACTCTCACCCCGTGATAAGTGGTATCAGAGCAGACCCAATCTATCTTTTGATGTCCTATCAAGCGTCCACACAGGGGCATTCACGTGTGATTGTGGGTCCATATAAAAGTAAAGTGGATGGGTAGGTAGGGGGCCCCATCCGTGACGAGGGTGTCACAGGATTGAGTGGGGGAGAATATAACAAATCTCATATTAAAAGCATATTGGGGAGGTCTTGGACTTATAAATGAAAGGAGTCTCTTGATGTCCTATCAAGCGTCCACACAGGGGCATTCACGTGTGATTGTAGGTCCATATAAAAGTAAAGTGGATGGGTAGGTAGGGGGCCTCATCCGTGACGAGAGTGTCACAGGATTGAGTGGGGGAGAATATAATAAATCTCATATTAAAAGCATATTGGGGAGGTCTTGGACTTATAAATGAAAGGAGTCTCTTCGCCTAATAAGTTAACCTTTTGGGTGTAAAACTCCCAACCGTGGCATTAGGCAGCTTTAGTTATTGTGGTTATTAAGTTATAGTTTTACTAACTTGTACGACTGTGTCTCTGTTACATATGTGGTGATGAAAGCATTATCTTATCTCTTCGAGGACTGAACCTTGAGTCATATAAAGTTGCTTGTTGTCACTTGTCACTGCTTTTGTTTGCCTTATAACCTCTTCTTCGCCGGGTCAGGAGACCACATAATTATTTTTTTTTTTTTTGAAAAAGTAAAAAGCTCTTCTCATTTGTTGAGAAATATGAATATTAGAGATGTTTATTGAAATTGTATCTTTCTAGTACCTAAATGGGAAGGGATATAGTTTAAATCTGTAAATTTCATGAGAAACGAAAGAAAGAAATGATAATAACAGATCTGTATAAAAAATAAAATAATGTGTATTTCATGTTTTAATTTACCATGGGGAATATTCTCCAAAATATCTTAAACCTTCATTCAAGCTTTTAGGCCACCAAACTGATATTCCTGTCCGCCAATGATTAATCTTCTCCAGTTTATGTAATATATAATTGCTTGCTCCCAGCTCAAGTTGGAACGAGATTGAACTGAATCTTACATATTTATATACTTTGTGCTTATTCCCCTCATTCTTATTAACAATTTGATGCATCCGTTGTCCATAGTTAGGTTAAACTTGTTTCCAGCTTCATTTATAATAAGTACTGAAAGAAGTTACATAAAAGATACGAATCTACGATGGCGGCTCAAGCTTACGGCCAATATTTGATATTGCAAGCAACATTGAGTGCTGGAGTCATAAATCTTCTCTTTTCTACTTTTGTGTCTATAATAATAGCTTAGCAAATTATATATTTCACCTCATCTAGGATTTTCTTGTTAATATAAACAAGATTAATCGAACATTTACTTGGAAATGGGAGCGATTTGGGTGATAATGTGTTTGAAAATGGCAGGATTTGGACCATTAATCACCAGTAAAGGACAAAGAAACCCGAATGCCCATCAGTTGGTGGTTGCTGTTGAGTACGACATTGCTAACTAGTCTGGTTGCCATTTCATTTTTCTGCCCGTGCGTGGAGTTTCGTATGGAACTGTTGCTCAATTACGGTTGGAGGATGGGACAAAATTCCTTAAAAGCACTTGACAATCACCATGTGAGATTCTGAATTATTGAATTTTTCATGTAGCTTCGAGAAGAGAGACGTATGCTAAGTAAGGCTGGATGTCAGAGGCAATGAACGCACATCTAGAGTTAATTGAAGCAACGTAAGATCCATTTTTAGTCTAATCTACTTCTATTCTATGTGGAATGTCATATCTCATCTCCGTTAATTTCATCTACTTTAATTAGTCTTTCTTATTGTTCATTGAATGTTAAATAAATCAATGTTATTATTTACAATTTTTTTCATTTCTGATACCGGATATAAATTCTGTTAACATAAGAAAAAACAATAAATCAATGATATTACTTCTATTATATGTAGAATGACAGCGATTAATAGACTTATGTATGTTATGGTGTGTGCAAGGTCAATTATAGCATATACACTGAGAGTTGTGAGTAAGTATATGAGCAATTTAGGAAAGCAATATTGTGAAGCAATAAAATAGATTTTCAAATATTTGAGAGGTAGTACCGGTTCAACATTATGTCTTAGGAAGTCAAATTTAGAGCTACAAGGTTATCAGGATGTTGATATGACTAGTGATATTGATAACCGCAAGAGTATCACACGTTATGTCTTTGCATTAAGTGGTACAATAGTCAGTTGAGTTTCAAAGTTACAAGAGATTGTTGCTCTCTTTACTACAGAGACAGAAGATGTTGCTATGAGAAGAGCGCATTGTATTGTGATAGGCAAAATGTCATTCATCTAGCAAAAAACCCAGTCTACCATGCTAGAACAAAGCACATAAAAGTACAATACCTTTCATATCCTCAGCTTTGGAAGAAGGAGTTATAGCTTTCGAGAAGATTCAAGGGTGTTAGAAACCTGCTGATATGTTTACGAAGGTGATTACCATTGAGAAACTGGAGTTTTGTACAACTTTAGTTGAACTTCTTGCTTGAAGAAAGTTGAGTTGATGTTGCTGTTGATGGAAGTGAAGAATTGAAAACATATGTTGAATTAGTCTCCAAGTGGGACATTGTTAAAATTGTGGAGTCAAATTTGTTGGAAACATGACTCATTTAGCAAAATCCCACTTGGGGTAGAAATGAAAATAGAGAAAGGTTTAGGGACTTATATAAAATAGGCCAAAGGTTAGTATGTCCCACATTTCTTAGGAATGAAAGTGGGGGAACTTTTGAGGCCTATATATAAAGACCTAAGCCATAGTTATAAGCATCACAAATTGTATTTCTATTACACCCCTCTTGTATATGGTTCTTTCATTAAGGACCCTTTAATTGAAAAGTTTTGTTGTATCTCCCTTTTGTTTTGGGTAATTATTTTTATGCACATATAATTTGTGTATTTGTAGTATTACCCAAAAAGTTTGTAATATTCTTTAGAGATAGTGAAGTTTTCTTTTGCAGTGCCCAAGGACGTAGGTTATAATACCGAATCTCATTAATTCCAGGTATTATTTGCTTTGCATTTATTTTGGTCATTTATTTCTGTTTTAGTAGTTGTTATTATTATATTTAAATAGCTACCATTAGAGTTTATGTTTCCGTTGCATAACAAAATTCAATCTAAATTAGTATTGCATTAGGACACAACTTTTCCTAATATGTTTCTACATAGAATTGTGTTTTTTTTTTAGGAATACAATTAGGAATATGAATATAATTATATTAGGAATTAAAAATTAAAATCCCTATTAGGATATGGATTTTGAGTCTTATTAAGAATATATCTCATGTATTACTTATAAAAAATGGTTAAATCCTAGAGTTAGGTAATTGAATAGAATAGAAGACAAAGCCACAATTAGAGAGTGAGAGCCACCACAAAGAGGTTTAAAGAAAGCCAATTTGTGAGGTTTATGAGAAACTCTTATAATTTTTCTTCTTTTTCATAGTGAAATTCTGCAATTAGAAAAATAGACGTAGCTCTCATACAGAGGGTGAACCACTATAAATCTTGTATTTATGTATGCTTTATTTATTTGTCCGTTCGCTTTATTTTTGCTTTCATAGGGATATGAGATTTGCTAGCATCCGATTAAATCCCACAGCAAACAAAAGACTTGTCCGTTCATTAAACAGGTAAATAGAGAAAAACTTATATAACATTTGATTGGATAATCTCACCATACCATGTGATAAGATTGTCCTACATAAGTTTTTTTTTTTTGGATAAAAATAATTGAAACTGTTGATGTGTGTTTTTGCACCAACGAAACGTACGTGCGAAACGTTGTAGGGGCCAAGAAATCGCACGTGAAAGTAACGGATAAGAGAGAGTAAATGCAATGTAGACAGTTTTAAAGTGGTTCGGATGCTAAGGTAGCAAGTCCTATGTCCACTGATATTTGTATTGATGGTAGGGGTCAGGTCGCTATTAGCTGACTGACTTTACAATGATAATACAAGGTATCAATTGCTAAGAAAAGAGAGTATAATTAATCAAGCGAAAAGTGTGCGAATCCCTTTAATGAGAGATGAATTCCTAATTTATAGTCAGATGCCCTGAGGCAATGATCACTAAATCTGCAAGTTGGTGGGATTATCCATGCAAATCCTTCTTTATGTCACATTGCCCACCTTCCAGAGTGATTTGCGTGATTTAGAGCAGGGATTGGACACGTGGGAGCGCCACAGCCTCCTAACTAGCCTGACGCGCGCCCACTATCCTAACAGACGCAGACGGTGGCTGTTCCAATGATCTGACTTCTGCGGGCTAAAGGGTCCTGACGTCAACCCTTATATTTTTAGGCATAACAGAAGCCCCCTAGTTTTTAAGGTTTGAGGATTGAACCTTGGAAACTACAGGTCGTGCTGCGGTTAGATGATTTCTGAGAACTATCTGTTCGAAAGTAGGTCAGAGCGGCATATGCACGAGCGCGACCTCGCATGCTCAAGGACGAGCGACCTGGATCCTTCTAACGTCACCCATTTATTTTGGTAACAGGAAGGCATTTAATGAAGCCATCCCTGTGCTGACAGGTGTGCCCCTTGCGTGGTGAATGCCAACCAATCACATTTAATGCCTTGCATGCTGAAACAGTGCGCTTTACCAGGACATTAAATGCAATATGCGTTGGAACGGTACACCTTACTAGAGCATTAAATGAAGATTTGAGACGCAATTAATGCTCTGAGAGAGATATGGCCGTCGTTTAAGCTTTTCGACTGGAAAGATGAAAGTTTGACTTCATCCAGTCGTTTCGTTCACCCTTCCTCGCTGATGAGTGACACGTGGCCAAGATCAATGGTAAAGAATTTTTACCGCTCGAA